GCTGGTTTAAGTATACTGCTTTGCTTTTTCCTTGGCTAAATAGATACTTTCTAATTATAATTCACATGAATTATATATCCACTGAGAAACGCCGGTTGGCATCAAACTTTATATTTTTAAATAACCATACCCGCACCGAAACAACTCGCGGCGATGGCAAAACTGAAACTGAGACAAACAAGCCTGGGCATGTCATAGCACACACTTTTCTTTCTCTACCCAGCGCAGTGATCGACATGCCATAGCTTACTGAGCGCTCTGTAACCACACGCGTGTTTCACCCGTATACGAACAGCGGTAGCGGAGCAATGATTTCCACGCACACAGTCTCATTCATTGAATCGTTTTTATGCAATGGTCGGCATACTAGCGCATTCAAACGATTCAATAAGTGGGACTGTGTGCATTGCTTAGCTGGCGCTCTTCGTATGTGAAACACACATGAGCTCAGAGAGCGCTGATCATTATTTAGGGGGTGCTCATTAGCATGAATATATTCCGCTCTCAAACCAAATCGATCAACTAAGATTTGGTAACTATGACTAATCCATGTGTTGAAAGAAAGCTTATCTATATTAGCAGAGCTTAATGGCATCCTTTTATGAACCATACTTTAAGTTGAATGGAATTTGTAGAAATATGCTTCAAAAAAATATTTATTAGTATTTACCAAACCCTTCAACTAAATTAACGATTTGGTACAACCTAGATGAATATTAGAAGCTTTAATATATTTAGTTATAATTACCAACCCATGGTAATAGTTCCCAATCCTTGGTCACAGTTCCCAAATATTGTCAAAATTCGGGAACTAAATATCTTTAGTTGTCGAAACTAATCCTTTTTCTCAGTGTATACTGGAGTTTTGACCAGCTTCGATATTCTCGGTACTTCGACCAACCTGTTGTCTCATTGGAACGAAAAAATTTAGTAGTGAATATGTAGACTCACAAAAATTGAAAAAAGTGGTATATAAGCTCTCAGGTTGCAGTCACCAACTCCGTTAGTAATTTTTATACCCGAGCGCGCTTGGGCACAGGACTATTATAACTTTGTTTACATAACGGTTGTTTGTAACAGTTAAAACGAATCGTGATATAGACAAATGTATACATTAATGATCAGAATGAAAAAAGAAATCGATTAGGCGGTTACTGTCTGTCAGTCTGTCCGTCTGTCTGTGTACACGATTCTCTCATTTCTCTCAAAGTTGGCGTAGTTCTTGGCCTTGGTATCACATACCAAACAGCTCAAAATTTTTTAAATCGGACAATAACCACGCCTACATTACATATAACGGTAATTTAGGGAAATACGAAGTCTTCGATAAATCAGTAAATATTGAAGCTAATTTATTCAAAATTAATGTTCGCAATAAGTCTTTAGCAAAAAATACGCTTGTGCTAAAATTTTGGAAAATGGGCGTAGCCCCGCCTACTTATGATCACATATGTATATCTCGGTAACCGTCCGATCAATTTGTACCCAACTTGGTATGATTGTTGTGCTTGCGACATAAGAGCAAAATCTTGAAAATTATTGCAATCGCACTATAATTACGCCCTTTTTCATATACCGGTAAATTTAAAAAATGCTTGAAACTTCGATATTTCCAAATTTATTAAGTATGCTCTAAATTAATACTAACAACAATCCCTTGAAAAAAAATAACATAATTATGGAATTTTGGGAAATGGGCGTGATAACGCCCACATATAACTATATAAGTTTATCTCATTAAGTATGTATAACTGAACATACTATCGAAAGTTGTTAGAAATAGGGGTAAAACCACTCTTCTTACCATGTGGCGGTAGTTTTCGGAATGGTAAGAAAACTTTATTTAATATTTGCTTGTTAAATATGTATTTGTGAATATTCTTCGTTCATGTACTACATAAATATACTAATAATGAAAATATTGCTTTTACTTAAGGACAGTTTAGTAATCGCCCAAAGATTGTGTTCACAATAAAACATAAATTTGTCAAATTCTTATCGAAAAATACGATTCCATAGGCATGGCCCTTAGCCATCATCTTGGATTAGGCGTATTCTTATATTTACTTGTTATCAGATTGTTTACAAACGAAGCACTTGAATGAGTAGATTCACACGTCATATGCCGTGTAAGCAAGTTTAAATTGGCTTATGGCGTTTTCGTTTCTACAAAAAAACTTGCCTCCTCTTCTTGGCCCGCTTTTAAACTAGTGTTTGTGCATAGAGGGCAAAGAGAAGGTTACATTTTTCGGTAGAAACGCTGTAAGTAATAAAAAAATAAATTATTCAATTTAGGACTGAGTGACAGTCAACGCTTATTAATTTATTAGGCATAGAAAATTAGGCATAGAAAAGCAAAAAAATAAACAATTCGCAGTAGAAAAAATGCACGCCTTCATTGGTGTATTGAAAACTTCCCTGCAGGAAAGCTAACTTTAAGTTGATTAGGAAGGAGCTATAAGTCACTTATTATCTGTATATTCTCTTTGACGAAAGCTAATAGTCAAGAGTGTTTATCTCTGTATTAGATGTAGTCAAAGGTGGTTACCTCTGCATTTGATGTAACTAACCTGTAACTAACTACTTTTGGGTATAAAATATCAATAAAAAAAATATATATTTTTTTTGTTTTTGTTTTTAATTTATTTACTTTATTTATTTTAGCACATTTCATATTTGTTTACATATTCTGCTATAGGTGGTCCCACATTCGAACTCCGTCAGACATAACTTCAAAATGATAATATGACAAATTTCGCTCTTCATTTTATTTGTCCTCAATTCGAAAAAGTATTTGCGAAGTGCAGGATATTTAAATAGAAACGCGTTTAAAGAAAACAATCTCGACCTTTACTCTCGCATTACTTATCCACAAGTTATATATTTATTATATTATAGAAATCCCGCAAAAAAGCTAACTACAAGTAGGTTATTTTTTATCAATTGATAATTTGTTTCTGCAGATTTTTGAAGGTTATTAGGCATGTATTCGTACATACACACAGATCTGCACATACATACGTAAGTGTTCAAGCAGCTCCCAATTCAATCAAAATACGAGCACAGAACTTTATGGCGTTGACATATTGCTTTACAATTCAGCATATTGCTTTCCGCAACTCGAGTAGCCATGATTCATAAAATTCATGATACATATTTCTTATTGCACTTTTATTGCAGTTAGTTAGGCTTCGATAACGTTATTTGTATTCAAGAAGTAGTTCAAGTGTTTGTTGTGCTATTGTAACAAAACAAAAATAGGAATATTCTCGAAATCTTGCAAAGCCGTTACATGTAGCATGGATTGCACGGATTGCATAATTTGCAAACACACAACAACAAAATACATGGGAAACAGCATTTCCTATAACTGCAAAGTATGCACTGTTTTGTTGTTTGAATTGCTACATATTTCTCTCATTCCTCTCATCACGCTCGCTTCATTTTTTTAACCGACTTCAAAAAAAGTAGGAGGTTATCAGTGCGTCGGAATAGTTTTTTTTTTTGTTTGTTTTAAGTATGCTGCCGCATAACTTTGTACCACGTTAACCGATTTCGATAACTGTTTTTTTCATCGGAAAGCTGGTACCTCAAGTGTGGTCCCATACTAGACCCGATAATTGGACGTGAAGAAATTAACGATAATCTCAAATTTTTATATGAGAATTCAAGTCGGTTTTGTTCTTTGCTTAAAAATTACTTGTTTCTCTATCTTATTATTGTACTTGATATAGAATTTCGCTGCTTGCTACCTATGCATGCTACCACTTTGCAATAGGGTGCTCTCGTACCCATGGAACGTGCAAGACTTCGAGAATACCCCTAATTTGTTTCGATGCCTTTTTTCATGCTGATTTTACAAAGTCAATTAGGTTGTTTGTAAAAATTTTACAACTGTGCAGGTGATAAAAAAATTGAGCTGGAGATATGGAAAATAATACTCAAATGTAAATCACTTTTAACTAAAATAGTTCCAGATATCGATTACAAGGTCTATAAATAGAACTATGAAATAGTCTCGAAAATCTCGAAATAGTCCCGAGAATCCCAAAATAGCCTTAAAAATTCTGATTTTGTCCGGATTCAGTCCCGAGAATTCCAAAAAACTCTAAGATAGCGAAAAAGTTCCCAAATTGAGGTGAGATGAGTTGAACCGTGGTGAGTTTAAGTGACGTGTGGTAAGAATGGGTGTGATGAGCTCATTTACATTAACAATATTCAAACTTAGCTGAAACGTATGCTTTCTGTCGTTAATCATTTATCATCCATGTAACAGGAATATGCCAAAGAAAAGCGTGGCAGGGTACAGCTAGTACATTATAAAAATACAACCACTTACCAAATTTCATCTGGATATCTCGAAAACTGAGAGAGTAGATTGCATACAAACAGACGGACAGACGGACAGGCGGACAAGCGGACAGACGGACATGGCTAAATCAACTCAGCTCGACGTTCTGATCAAATAAGTATATATTTTAGGGGGTCTATCTCTTTATATTCTGGTACTTATAAACATAGGACCAAAGTTATAATACCATTTCATGCTCATGAAAGGTATAAAAATGTCAAAAGTA